CTTTACGTCGGGCTTTTGCTGACGCGTAGCCCGAAAAAACGCGACCGAAGACGTCGGATTGCTTGCGCGACCGAAGACGTCGCGCAGTCGGAGGGGGCGATTGAATGGCTCATCTGAATCTGGATCTCTGGATCCATGGCTATCACATGACCGTTGACCTCGGTTGACTCAGGGCGTCACCATCCCATGACCGGTCACCATGACCCGCCTCCTCAAGCGTTCCAAGACTTCAAGCAGCTCGGCCATGGGAAGTGCCTGGAGAGCCCTTTGGCTCACCCCGCCAGGGAGTGGGAGCGGTCCACGCACCCGAAAAGCCGTCGACTCGGTTCCAAATCACCTGTTGGAGGCTCCGAATGTTTCGGTGTTGGCAAAGACATTGTGAAGCCTAGTTGATTGGGTCCAATCGTCTAACCTCCCAGTACAAGAATTGTTGCTATAGAGAAGCACTCTTGAAATGTGGACTAGGAATTGAACATGCTCTCATCTGGAGAGGCTTGGTGCACACCCAAAGAAACACCGCCGAACAGTAGGAAAACGACACAAATGCAATGCACCCTCCAGCCTCCCGCAAGGCCCCTCGTTGAAAGTCCCAAACCTGGGCTATATAAAGTAGTTAGGCTTGGACAAGAAAGGCATACTGCACACATGCGCAAAAGGGTCTTACATTGAAGGCTTACCCATATTTCTGGGATTAAACTTACACATATTACATTACATTAATTTACATTACATTACACATTATACAACATTATATTATACATTATACATATAGCACTTCTCCAATCTGCCCATCTCGGCCTGGACTGGCCTCCACATGTGCCATAGACATGGACCCGCTTCCATGTTCATTCGACGGTCATGATTTCCACCCGCTCCACGTGGTCCACACGCGCCTCGCTGAAGCCTTCCTGCAGGCACTCTCGCAGCGCCGGGGGGCGGATGCCCGACAGCCTGTCATGAAGAATGGCTCGAGGGTGGGAAGCACCAAGAGCCAACCAAACCCGGTCATCTGCCATAGGCCTTGCTAAGCGTACACACCGGTGGAAGAAAAATAATGTCGTCTGTTTCACTGGCTGAAAGCCATCCTCCCTTTTCAGTCTGCATCATGTTGGTTGGAAGGGTCTTCATCCCACAAATTGCTTCAACATGTCAAGACGGTTGAGTCTGACGCCTCTCTACAGCAGCGCTAACAGCTCGACCTGAGGGTGACTTGAGCAATAAGCAGAGTCCACTGAGCGGAGCCAGCTTGGCAGGTTTGGAGATGGTGGGAGTTTTCCTTTTCCCTTCCCAGTTCACCTTTCAAGCAGGGTGAACGAGGGGTGCCGCCCAACAACTAACGAGTCATCCAAGAGCCGGGCTCAATGAGCTGAGATTGGAATCTTCGACCTTACCCACATCCATCGCCACCTGAGCTTGGCAGAATCGAAGAGTTGCCAACCCGAGTTGTGATGTTTTTGCGTGTGTTTTGTTGTTCGATCTCCTGAGAACAAGGAGAGCCCCTATTCCTGCATATGTTCGTGGAAGTCAAGGGCGCATTCCTGAAGACTTTGATCACACGCAGCTGACATTGGCAAATGATGGCTGAACGACGAAGGGAGTTATTCCATCCTGGATGCCCAGCTCCATGCTACATCACAAGCTACATCCTTATTATTACATCATTGTCCTTGCATTCTGCCTTTGTAGTAGAAATCAACAAGTGCTCATTCTTGTATGCCAAAATCGTCATTCTATATTCACTTCTCTAATACAGACTGTTCAACCAGCTTGAAACCTGGCTGCTTCGACTCCGGCCTCTCCCTCGGGGAGAACCAGCTGGAGCCGGAGGAGCGCCTAAGCACTCATCCAAGCTGTTTGGTAATGGATAGACCGATAGACCATTAGCTGTTTGTATTGGTGACAGTCATTAATCAACACCTCATGGTACAGTATCCCACTGCAAGAAGTCCACCACTTCATCCCTCACTTCATCCCGGACTGTGGTAAGTTCCGGGCCCCTGCGGCGAGTCCAGCTGTGACTTTGGCTCCAATCTTGGCAGCTGTGACTTTTCGCAGCAGATCTGAGGACATGTCCGGGTTCTCTCTTCCTTTTTCTTTGTGTTGTTTACTCCATTTTTGCGAGCGGTAGGCCGCTAGAAGAGGTAGATATGGTAGCTAAATTCTGTAGGACACTACTACCTAGGACACAGGATAGCTCACACTTCTTCTGAGGCCGGGGTGCAGCCTTGAAGAAGCGCTCGCACTATTCGTTTGGTTCGCAGATTTCTTAGGGAAACGAAACACATGCATCAAAGAAAATGCAAGGACGTGGAGGCCAACCAAGATCCCGGCCGGGTCGAAACGTATTCGCACTGCCTAGCAAACACCCCCCCGGCTGATCCAGGAGTTGTTAGATTGACCATCAAGGATGGTTTATAGACCCGTTTCATTAAAAATCCGCATTTGCACTTGGCACGGCCTCCGACAGGGCGCGGATGCGCAATGGCGCATAATCAGCACCTCCAATCCGGCCACGAGTCACAGGGCCAATCCAGAGAAGGTGACAGTACCCAGTCTTGCTCGTAGTAGCGACGCCAGGAGCCCCTAGTAGCGTCCTTGCTCCTAGTAGTAAGGCCAGGAGCACCTAGTAGCTTCTTGTTCCTGGTATGGATCCACATACCTGCTGAGGTGATTGGAGACTATTTATGTAGGCTTGGAGGGCCCACCTTCTGAGATGTGGATCCCTTGCGCCAGGAATGAGATGCCGCAACATGATGTCGTTCGTACGTACTTACTCTGGCTGTACTTTGATACTTAAGGAGTCAGTGATGAAATGCTAAGGGACTTGAGTCCAAGCATCCTTAAGTCCGATCACGCTCTATGGCGGCTTGACCAAACCGGCTGAGTCTGAATGTCTGCAATCAAGTCCAGTGCCTAGCCCAGCTGCCAACAACAGCGAGCGCACTGGAATGGGAAACCTTAGTGTTTTCGGCAGGAAATAGAACTGGGAGCAAGAAATTGAGCTGAGGAGAAGGCCCAGAATTGGCAAGATAATCTTGTGGAATTGATGACACTGCATCCCGTAGAGCTTCTGCCAAGATCTTTCCCAGTTCGTGTAACGCAGATCGTTCCTGTGGATCGACGGACCAAAGGAACAACGCAGGCGTGATCAGGACCGTGAAGTGCTCTGCAAAGTGCAGTATGTGATTGAACACGTTACATTACATGACATATTACTTAAATTTTAATATAGAATAGTTACTACATGTTACTGAACTCAAACAAAACAAATGGACTATCTGCCAGGTGGTGCAAGCTCCAGTAGTGCGTTGGAAGTTATACCCTAGTAGGATACCGTAGGACAAGAAAGACGCAAGAAGCTGACCAGGCACCTCTGAAGTTGAAGTCGTTTCACTCTTTGCCTCCAAGTAGTTCTGCCTTGGCCCGTCGGTCCGCTACGCTGGCCGCAAGTAATGACCACTGACCGCAAGCGGTGGTTAAGGCTCCCACTTGGACACTCGTCCCCGACGAGAGCAAAACGATTGCGCGCTCAGGGCCTGGTAACGTGGAAGATTTGGGAAACCAAAGATTGTTTGACACAAACAGTCTATAATCTATTCAGCAAGGCTGGAATTTGATGGGATTTGACACTCATTATTTTGCAGCTGTCTCACAGTTGCGTCGGGAAAGTATATTGTGTATGGATGCCGAGACCGTCATTTGCCTGTTGCAACATAATGACTGTGGGGTCAAAACCCGGGCACCATGGTTGACCCCTGACAATGAACAGATTCCTCCCAAAGGGGTGTCAACCTACCATGGTTTGGTGAGGGAGGTTTTGACTCGCCAGCGCTTGGTTGATTCTGCACTTTCTTCAGGTGAATTAGATCTTGCCATCATTCTCTTCATGGTCAAACTCGGTACAGTACTTTCTACGTGCAGAGTGGAACTTACGGCCAACCCACATGCCTCGATGCACTGATAAGCTGACTGGGCACGAGCTTTGGCCTTCCGCCACTGAACTGAGCATGCTGAAAGCATGTTGATGATTCCATCCAATTCTTCCACCATGTGTACTTCTCAAGTTGATCACACAAAACCCGCTCTGACAACCATAGGAACCTGGACGTGAGGTCCAGCAGCGGCATACTAGTAGACTGTAGACTACAGTCGAGTTAAATCAGCACGAGTGGTACTAAGCACCTATTCTTCACCCATGATTGCTTGTTCGATTGAAAAAACATCAGGTACTCCGTCGAAGAAGCTTTTCAATCAGCAAATTCTGCGAAGCAGCGAAGCCAAGTTGGAATGTCCGATGCGCATGTCTTCTGAGGCAACCAGCAGGGGTGTATTTTTAAAGGGTGCACATTATTTTTTTTATTTTTTTTCGTTATTTTTCAAAAACATTGGAATAGATCAGGTTTCTTATTAGTACCTAGCTAATTACAGCAATTTTGTGTCCTTAGCCGAGACACAGGTGTCGTAGCTGGCCAAATACATTGGAATAGTGCAGGTTTCATATTAATTGCTGCTGCTAGCTGATTAGACTAATTTGGGAGCTGTCGTAGCTGGCAAAATACATTGGAATAGTGTAGGTGTCAAAGAAAGTCCTACGTTAGCAGAGAAACAGTAAAGAGAAAGAGAACCAGCACAGGAGGCATATATGATTGGTTAGAAGTTTATGCCCCGGGGAGTTCACCTTAAAATATTGATTTCGTGGCAGGCGCGGGTGTCGGAGATGAAGTGCAGATTTCGTGGCGTGGGGTTGGGCGGGGGGCAGCGCCCCCCCCAACAGCACACCAGATCCAAAGGTTAGAAAGCAAACAGATGGAAAAGCAAAAACAAAAAGAGAAAGGAGAACAGCTGCCAAAGCAGAAAAGCAACAAAAGCAAAGAGGAGAAAAACAAAAACACAAAAAGCAGCAGAAGCAGAAAAGCAAAAGCAAACAAAACAAAAGTAAAAAAGCAGAAGAAGCAGAAACGCAGCAAAAACATAATCCGAAAACACCAAAAAACATAAACTTACCAAAAAAAACGCCCTCCTTTTATAAATCCTTCGATTTGGCTGATCGGCACCCTGATTTGGCCACACTCACAGGGTGACTCTGCCGGCCATCCGAATGGATCTCCCCGTCGGTCGGACCTCCCGTCGGCCTCTTGAGAATCATCTTCCAACCAAGTCTTCTTCAGCTCCCACTGCTCCGGCCTCCCGTTGCCACTGTCCGGGGAAGCGACGGACAGTGGCTGCAGGGTGCCCGTTGCCTATGTCTTCTAGAACCGAAAAAACCACTCATCAGTAGTCAGTTCTAAGTTCTAAGTGCTTCAAAAGGCCCTTTGGACAAAGCTGGACCTCACTCACTAGCTTTTTCTCACTCTGGCCTCTTTGTTCCATCCATGCAGTGGCACTTTTGAGTACAACAACCAGGTGGATTGGCCGGAGGGTGTCCAGGAGGATAGGCAGATTCTTCCCGCGGCCAGCCCGTGAGGAGATCTTCCGGCTGTTTGCCCATGACGATCCCGTGGCGACGTCTGGGCTCCAACCTCGGCGCAGGCACAAGGTTAGGACCCCAACAAGAAGGACGGCCCCGTTCTTGGAGGAGGGTGGATCCTCTGCGTCTGTGTCTTTAAACGAACAGATTCAAAAATATTAAATATCACAGTGTCTTCGCTTAGGTAAATGAAGCACGATAGCCTCCAGTTATGACCTCATGACCTGCAAAGCTGATGAGTGTCATGATGTTGGGTCAACTATTTTGCTTCATCCATCTCGTAACAGGCAATTGGAGCCCGGGATACACTTGAACGGAGGTATGTAGACCAGGGAATTAGTTTCTTCAGATGCTGGCTCATCATGTCCATGGATTCCAAACCTACTGCCTTGACACTGCTTATGTCAGAGTAATATGTAGATGTTCAACGCAGATCTATTTGGTATTCTACCCCTACTCCAAAGCGCTTCTACATCGCTCGACATCGTTCCCAACCCAAGCGATTGGAAGTAGAAGAGCTTCGAGTGCGGCAAAGGCGCATATCCTCCCAATTCGACCAACTTCGTGTCTCCACCGTGGGCACAGCTTTGGGCGCTTTCGGCGGCTCGCTCGGCTCCACGTTCGGCGGCTCGCTCGGCTCTGCTTCATCGTGGCTGTCATCGTCGTAAGCCGACAACAACGATCCAACCGTCTGGGACTTGGCCAGTGCTGCTCCTGTAGTCGATCAACATGCATCAGTACTAGCGACAGTCCAGGGTTGAGTGCTTGTTAGACAAGAACAACAATTATAGATACAGAATGTCATAGACAATTATGGTAGATTATGGTGCTAGAGGCTGCCCCAATGCCTCCAGCTTCCCCAAAAAGTATTCTCCGGTGTCCGGGAGACCGAGCGCCAACAAAAAATACGTACGTACTTTAAACACGGTTTCGCAAGACTCAGTGCTGTCAGTGCCCTTGGAACTAAGCTCCTGGAGCATCAGGCACCACAGCTCCTGCACTTTTCTCAGGCTTTGCCGCGGTGTTCGTGGGTGCACGACTGATCACTGGAGCCGCTTGCAACACGATAGATGAAGCCTTTTGAACCGTCACAGATCCAGCTGGGCAGCTTGAGCCAGCCGTGGTCGGGGCTGGAACAGGAAGATTCGCCTGGAAGGGAAACGCCATCGGAGGGGCGCCTGGTATGGCAGACAACCCCGGTAGACCTGGTATTCCCATGCCTGGCATGGGCATTCCAGGTATACCAGGGATCGGCATGACAGGGCATCCTCCAAGCTTAGGATTGCAGCCCAAGGCCGCAAAAATGCCATCAGCTGCTGCCGGTGGTTGTCCAGGCGCCCAGGGACATCCACCCAGACCTGGTAAGGCCATGGCACCACATGGCGACACGTGGGTCAGGCAGTCGGAAGGCGCCTGAAACACAACGGAATCTCTGAGTGCTGCAAAAACACCGGACACTGGGCTTGTTAATGGTGCTCAGCTGGACCATCTGGAACTTTCACCTATATTGTGTCTGCAAGGAAGTGTCTTCTTTTGTGGACATGAGGCGTCTTGTGCAGCTTTCTTCAATGCTGTGAGCACAATACCGGCAGTTGCTGGCATAGTTGCATACACTGCACATGTGTACACTTTACATGTGCCCCTTTCTGACAGATTGTCGAGAGCATGCCTCAAAGTGTCAGTGTCTTCCGCGCGCCCTTTTCCTTCTGCGGCCTTTCGAATCTAATCAAAGCGATCAAAACGACACGCATGCCTCAAAACGACACGCGAAAACCACACCCCATTGGCCGCCCTTAAGGCCCTGATCCAACGTCCCTTTCATGCCATTTGGCATGTAACAAATCAATTGTGGCGCTGAAATTCTCCAACTGAACCTGCACCCAGAGTGACAGATATGGAAAAACACCAGAAAAACCGTTTGAAACCGACCCTTTTCTGCACAGCACCGGCCTTGACTCAGAGTCGATGTCCTCAATGAACCCCCACGAAGTGGTACTGGTATGTGTCGTACCTCGCTTTTCCAAGGCTCGAGGACTACGGAGACATGGTACGACATGGTATACAGTAGAAGGACTGGTGCGACAGCAGAAGGTGGCTGTGTATTTGAATGGGGAGATCCTCATTTTCCGTAGCCCCATAGACTGGGTAGACTGGTCAATTCTTGTCCCTTCAAGGAGGTCGTTGCCCGGGAGGTCTCCTCGTTTCAATACACACACCCAAGCTTGTTGTTACAAAGATTCACACTCATGTGACGCCAAAGCAGGGCGGCACAATCTAGAGCGCCAGTGATCAATGGAGTCATCGATCATCCTTGACCACACAGGTCTGCTTCAGCCAAAACAACCACATTATTATACCACATTCTCATGCTTGAACGCGGAACCTGATTGTCAGGTAATCGTCAATGACTGTTTTGGTGTGGGAACTTTGGATCAAATATCACGGAATTGTATAATCGTTATGCATATATATATATATATATTGAACAAGTCGTATAGATTAGTCGATTCAACTTAGCTCTGGCTTTGAAGTAGAACCCATGCAACAGTATCTGCAACACAGCTTCTGGTCTTTTGCAGCACATGTCACACAGTATTGATGGCTAAATCACGCTTTAAACATGTCAAGCACATCACTGGAACCTTCGGCAAACATCTCCACAGGCCAGGGTCAAGACTTGTTGATCGATTGCCGAAACTCCTTGCCAAAGGTCAAGGTCGCAAAGGTCAACGCAGGTCGCCACACCGGGCAATGTTCATAGTCAAGGTTTCGAGCTCGCCAAACCCGGGCAGCAGCTGGTTCCATCGTTTCATCCTTCGTTTCACCCAAGTAACACGGCCGCACCGAACCACGGACACCACACGGACACCGCTCCCGTGGGGACAGCCCACCTCATCGGAGATCTTTCGGTCACCGCCGTTCCGAACGCCTCCTGGCCTTAGTGAAGGACACGGTCCGCCGTTCGGCTTCGTTTCTGCTTCATCCGTCTTCTCCATGGAATGCACAGCTAACCTTCACCAACCTGGTGGGAACCGTTGGTGTGCGTGAGGGAGCATCTCCTCCAAACGGTTGGAACCATTCCTGGTGGGAGGGAACAATGACAATCCAAACCCTTCCAGGCGCCGAACAGTCCCAGGCGGTCGCAAATATCCTCCAAGACCGCCTGGCCGAAGCGGACTGGCCGACGTCCGTAAGTCTTCGACCCGAAGACTGACGAGTCCGAGCGTTGAGAAGAACCACGAAGACCCGTCTGAGACCGCGTTTTGAACCGACTTTGAGGGTCTCAAACCCTTTCAGACTCGATCGAAAGGAGTCCTGGTTTGCTGTGTGCGCAGACAAACACCAACAAGATCCAGCTTTCAACATATCTTGGGCGTGGGTTGCTGGCTGTAACAGGCAGTACTTCCGTAAGCTTGAAAGCTCACCTCCTAAAGCACAAAAATGATTGTCTCTGCTGATTCTGTTTAAGCAGCGAGAGCCATGGGACCTTGCCTCAGGATATCCGCGTGGATGGCAGAAGCAGTTCATTTGACTGTTTTCAGATCCAAGCCTTGGGCAAAGCAACATGCTCTTCGATGAGTTTCCAACTCTTTTGACTCTCCTATGTTCAAAACGGCTCTTCATGCACAGAGTGAATATTTGACGTTAAACTGAGACTGAAAAACATCACACTCAAATGATTCAGTACAACAGCAGGTTACATTCCGTATAAGTCAATAAAGTGGTCCCCTAGCAAATACAGTTGAAACATGTTGAAACTATTGCACACGGTACATACATATACCAAAAACAATTCCAAGAGGATCGTCACTCACTGTCTATCGATTTCGGAGTTTACATGGACATTTCGACCTTCCCCAAACCTGTGCGAGGCATGAAAGCCGCGCGTCCGGGAGTCATCGATACAACTGGGGCTTCTTTGTCTTGAACCTTCTGGGGGACAGGCATGCTCAGCTGCACCAAGCCCAAGAGCTCCTGGTGGAGCTCAGCAGGGATGCTAGTGACTCAGGGTATGTTCCTCCCTCAACGAATTCCAAAAGTGGAAAGCTCTGTGTTTGACAAACAGAGTGTTTGTAGAGGAAGGCAGTCTTCCAAAGAGCCAATAACTGCGATGTTTCATGATCTTTGGATAGAGATGGACAGAGGACGATAGAGGGCCAATTCTTTGGATCCTTCGATGTGTTGCTCAAATTTGTTGTACATTTTAACTCTACAGAATCAAAGGTTATTTGAGCTCTCTGTGTTCCACGAGTACAGTAGATTTTCAGGAGGGTTGGGATCGAGTTACCTAGATGCTGCTGCTGTAGGAATCATTTTGGTTGAGTCACCTCAGCAAGGGAAAATTGAGTGGCCCAAGCTTGTCGGAGAGGATACGGTACCAATGGATCCAATGAAGGAATATATACAGTACCCTGACTACATAATATGACTTCCATCAGGCGACACTTAGTGTGACTACAGTGGCATCGAGGCGGCGGAGCGGGGCTCTGGTTGGACGGCACCGGCCTGAGCATGTGATCGAACAGCCCTCATACCATCAAGGATGGCAGAGCGGAAGACCTGCCAGGCAACGAAGAATGATCGCGTGTGATGACCACAAATGGTCCCCTTCTAGCAGGAGAGCACTTGGTTGTTCTTATTGGCTGGGAATTGCACTTCTGATCCTAATCGGACTTGCTCGTGATTGCGCATTGGAAATATCGATCCGCGTGATTTAGGTGAATTGAACATCTTCATGAACACTGTCTCTGCTGGAATCTAAGCCAAACACCCTTCTGAAGCTTTCCATTCAGCCTAAACTCTGCATCAAGTTATACTCGTGTGACCATCCAAAGGTCTCTCCCAAACAGTTATCCACCAAGCATCATCAAACCTCATCAGTCAAGAAACACCTTCATCGTTCCGGCTCGAGAACAGGGATATCTCACTTGGAATGTTTCAGTTCTTCACGTTCACTCGCCTGGAACTCACTCCCATCGGTGGGGCCCAGCACCTCCACCAGCCTGGACGGCAAACGAAGAGATCCCAAAGGGCCAAACAACATGGGCTATATAGATGGCTATAGGCTATAGGCTTTATATGGCTTTTGGATGCTACGCTGCTACACTTCAAACATCTTGAAAAATCCCCTGGCAATCCCCTTGACTTGCACCTGACCTTTAGAATTTCTTGTCGGTGGCCGTCAGGTTACTACACAGCGTAACCCTTTTGCTCTATAGCCGCTGGTCTTATTGGAAGGCTTGTTCCCTGCAGGCAATCTCAATGGACCCCAAAATAGATGGACACACGAAAGCATTTGGGGCAGTCGCTTCAAAACTCCCTTGGGAAACTACTTTTAGTAAATAGTCCGCAAAGCTTCATGGTCCTTGGAACTAGCTGGACTTTCCCTTCAGCTGGAGATTCGAGCCATTTGGCTAGTGGAACCTTTTGCATCCTTTTGCGACTCATTGTGCAGGTGGATCAACGGGAAGAGGCATCGTGACCGGTCGAAGCACTTCGTGGGCGAAGACAGGCAGATTCCCACCATCGGTGACAGGCCCCGTTGCATCGGTGACAGGCCGGCTGGACTCATTGGTGAGCTTGAAGCCCGCGGAGTGCTCAAAGCCACCGATGTGTTGCATCGCCTATGTCGCAGACGAAGCCACCGATGTGTTGATGGACCAAACAAGGACGATCATTCCCCAAACATGTCAAGCGAACTGTGCAAGCCTGGAACTGTGCGTGTCTTCAACTCCCCCTCTATTTGATCTTTCGACGCCCCTGTGGTGTCTGTGTCTTGAACGTGTTGGCGGTTTTTTTCGCAGCCAACAGCCGGTGACGAAAACTGCATGTGTGTCCCCACCTTGCCACCCGGGGCACCACAAAGCATAAAGCCAAAGTCTACATGCAAAACCTCAAGGTCCAGCTTTGATACGCAATCTGCTTTTGGTCAAAACCAACCACATCTGGGAGGTCTCTTTCCAGGAGCAGCTTATGATCCTGGGCCATCATGGTCAGACGGTCAGCCTTTACCATCTGAGGCTCGAACGTGACCTTCGTCGTTTAACATGATGTTGCCTCGGCGACTCAGCTCTATTCCGGTGGACCGCGAACAAGGTCATTGAGGTTGTGTCGGTTGTGTTGTGCCCGATTTTGGTTAAGTTTCAACACTTGGAAGGTATTTGTCATAATCGAAATGATTTTGCAAGGAGCCACCATGAGAACCTTGTAAATCATGGAACTTCTTCAAATCTGTGACTGTGACATTCTGTCGCGACAAATTTGTATGACAGTTTACAATCGAAAAGACAAAAAGGATCAAAAAGGTGTCTTGGCCGAGTAACCATTGTGCCTATCCCGAATCGCAAGGACATAGCACACCACGGAGTACCTGACATGTCTGTCGGCATCAGGACGGATGTTGATCTTGCGACGAGTCGCGCACGCAGCCATGGAGTAGATGAAGTTCAGTTTGGCGGTGCGGAAAGACACCGATCTGGAGCAGATTCGCCAAAGAATTTTTTCACTCAGATTCGCCAGGCGGGGCGGAAGGCATTCGAAAGGAAGGCCAGTCATGAGGAAGGAATGGTTTCGAATTAAGGCCAACATGACAAGAAGTCGCCGAGTGCAGCACTTTTCCCGACCAAAGCCGTGAGGCTGGTCGTCGCCCTGGGACGTGGCTACCGAGGGAAGGGTACTACGTGGTGTGGCGAGCTCACAAGCGCGCAATAGCATCCGTCCTTCAGTCTAGAGCAACTCCTTTGACTGTTCCTAGAGAAAGGGTACAAGATGATACAAGTGTTCCACCAGAGTCACCAGAGTATCCCAAATGTCGTACTCTGACTCGTCTTGAGGAATGGTCCGTCGCCCCCCGCAATATACCCCCCAAACTGGAAGAATGTGGTGTCTTCGTCCATCTCGAACGGGCATAGAATGGCATAGAACGGGTGGTTTTCCGGCGCACGACAGTGCCACGCTTGCGCGGAAACCACAGAAAAGCCCTGTGTTTCCAGACATTTGCGTCGTCTAAGACGCTGCAAGGAATCCTGTGGCTCTGGCCGTGAAGGAATCCTCGAAGTACCTTGAAACAAGAGTCGAATGCGTTTGTAGCCCGGTTGCAGGATATTTGAAGGGCTCATACAAAAGGACATCTGACAGGTGTCTGCAAAAGATATCAGCGGAATACAAGGTTCGACATAGGAAATAGGAAACAAATTGTGGGTTTTGATCTGATCTGAGCTTAAATTGACATCTTGGCCGTTCTTGGCAGCCCGGGCCTAGCCTCCTCAGTGACACCCACTTAGAGCCATAGGTCTTCTTGAGGTCGCTGATGCTGATGGCATTTGTCACCACCTGCAGCAAGCCAGGCCAAGCTCGGGTGCCAAGGTGAAGACTTGAGCTGCTTGGGCTACGAAACCATCAGAATCATCACCGTCAAACCGTTTCGCAGCTGCGTCATCCGGGCCTCGAGCACTCCGCCATCGTGAGTTGTGGCAATGATGAGAAACGGTTGGAGCCAAAGTTTGGGATTGTGCCTGCATCAACAGCCAGGCTCTTCTCAGGCTGCCAAGCGAACGAAACAACCGTGAAGCTAACAATCCTGATGAGGCTATCGGTGTCTATCTGTGATCTTTCTATGATCAAGCCGCATTCATCGCCATGAAATGTCGTCCTCTCATCGCTTGTGTTTCTGCCTTTGAAACGGCCGAAATCAAACCACCCTGGCCTCTTGAAGACTCTCTCAAACCATTTGAGAAGCCGAAAGGCCAATTCCTCTTGTCTCACGTCCTTGGGAAGCTGACAGGCTTCGTCTCAATCCGTGGACCCGCAAAAAGCACACACACAGTCAAGCTAGGGCTTAGACATCCGCATTGCTTTTCACAATCATGGGGATCATGCTCCAGTTCCTGAACTTGACACGCAAAATAGTCAAAAACACCGTAAAAGCAAAGCACCCTTCATCACCGAATTGGCCTGTTTGGAGAGGATTTCATACACAACGCTTTGTTCTGAACACACCATGCACACATTCGCCGATATGATGTTTGCAGCCAGGCAACGGTTGTCTGCCGAACTCGCTCTGTGCACGGACGCGCTGAACCACCTGTGGCGCAACGCATTTCCACCGAAAATCCAGCTCCGACTCAACAAAGGACATAGCTTGGAAATCCTCAGGCAGGACGTCAGACATGCAAAAGGGCAGTCATTTCAGCCCAGTATGTTTGCCAGGGTTTGGCGAGTTTGCTAATGTCCCTGCATCCTCAACTTGGTTGTACTACAAGTACCAGGGATATTTTTAAAGACTTCTTTTAAACAAAGTCTCCAGTGCGTTGTCTCTGTCTAAGAACCAGGTTTTTATCTCCACTGCCAGACCAACTCCAAACACCCCTTTCCCCAGCGCCTCGGGCCAGGTCTCATCGTGAAAGGCGCCTTTCGGCCGCGGTTCCCTCGGTGGAGAAAGCGCGGTGGGTGCGCAAAGAACAATGTTCATGTAAATAAGTGTGAAAAGCGTGAACCTAGCAGAAGCAAAGGCCATAGTGACAGTGTTGTATGTAGTCTTCCCAAGAAACTTATCATATCATATCCTTCATCTTGACATATGTATCAGCTGTATCTTTATCTTCTGACACCACCGACTCATGGGCGGCCTCTCCTCTCCTCACTCTGGCTGTGGGTCAAAACTAGAATACCTTGCTAACTGGAAGGCACCTGTTACTAGAAGTAAGGCACCTGTTACTACTAGCGATGCACTTGTTCCTAGTAGCTTCTTGTTACTACTAGTAAGGCACCTTGCTAACTGGAAGGTCAAACATGGTGGACCAGGGCTCCAGGCCCTCGGCCCAGGCTCCGTGCGCACGAGGGCGGCGAGTCTTCCGGTGGCCAGAACTTCGGTGGGACTGGCGCAGGCGACACGGGCAAAAGCAGGATCCAACCTGCAAGGCCTTTGGATTTATATTTTGCATACAATTTTTAACACAAACAAACTACCATTGTAAGGTTATATAACACTGTTTAGCTCCTGCAAAGCCTTCATTGGAAGTCAACCTACCATTTTTAAGGGTTGTTTTTGTCTCTTGATGAAAGCAGCCCAACTTTCGGAAGCAGTTGGGCGGATGGAAGGCAACACATATGGACTCAAAGTGGGACCATCATCATGTTTGTTTGAGTCTTTAAAGTCACTTATGAACCAAGTCTCTTCAGCGGCTGACTGCTTCAAATCAAATGCTGGCCCACTGGCCCCCTTTTATGTCTTCTGGAAAAGAATGGACAAAGTATGTCTTATCCTGTCGGCGTTGATTTAAATACAAATATACGTATATATACACAATCAGAGGGGCTTGCAAAAATGACTCTCACTTTTTTTTGACTCTCAGTTTTCTTGTTTCTGACGCTAATGATATTGATACTAAAGAATAGGGGGAGGAAAAAGATGAAGATGCTCTCAGTTTTCCTATTCACCTTTGATTTAGATGCTAAAGCAGAAGGGGAGGAAGAAGAAGATTTCTTAACTTATGATTCATAATATTAATAAACAGTTGAGTCTGAACTTGAGGACACATTAAAAAAATTAAGTGAGTCTTGTGGACCGTCAAGTCTGAATGGCATCATGTATGTATAAGCGAGTCTCTCTTGGAGAATATGCTTTGGACAGATAATCTAAATTTGAAGGTAATAAGTGATTCATGTAACTGACTATTTTGAACGGTTGAGTCTGAATGCTGCATTATGAATTAAAAGATGGTCTAGGGCGGGGGGAGGGGGGGTAAGGTGCCCAACACCCCAAAACACAACATCCAAGAACAACTGAAGTGTCCTTATAATATGTCAGGATGTCTAGAATCACTCTAGGGTTGGTAACATGTATTATTACTAAATGTCACATATCACATCTCTGCAAAGGAAAAAGCGTCCGATACTTGCAATATAATCGGAGGTTTTACATAAAAGGTGTTGGGGGGTTGAACCTGCTGAACCTGCGGGGCGGAGCCTTGGAAGATCCTGGATCTGCTGGTGGGAAGGTGGGAGGATGGGAGGGTGGTCCAAATTCGTGCCATCAACTTCAAGCTCAATGCTTGGGCCGTACATCTGGCATGTTTGGATGTTGCAGAGCACTTCAATGACCTATCACTTACCGTAGCTTTTCTTATTGCCGTTGCCAGCCAGGTTGGGTTCTACCCTCAGAGTGACAGTTGCATCTTCACATCAACTCATGACTCAATCCTTTATTCTAGTCAGACTGACACTCAGATTCGCTTTCTCTTCCTGTTCAGATTCACAGTCACTCCTTGTCACATTCATATTCAAATTCCGGATTCAGCGTAGGATTCTTGATGGAGCTCATTTCCAAGGAATGGACGCTTGTCTTTTCGCACTTCAATATCTTCGAAGTGCACCCGGCGCGTTTGGAAGTTCTGAAGTTTATGATATGAGCGAATGCACCTGGATTTGTGATTGGCTTACTATATCTGCAGCGGTCTTAGCTCTTTCAATCAGCCATAAGACCTTCACCATCCATCACCACTTCTGAGCAATGGTGCGCCATTCCACCACTTCTGCGCGGTATGAGCACAAGTGGAAGACACATGTTGCAGGCGGCTACAAGTGCCTCAGTTCAAATTTTGAGCAGCACGTGTTTCCAGGCCCGATGGCCATGCCAAAACCGCTCAGGCTCCAACATTTGAGATGGGAGGGGGACGAAGTGACGGAAATCTGGACGAGGGACTTTGAGAACAAGGGCCAGCAGATCCAGGGCCTGAAGATCCAGCCGAAAGTTGAAATAAAAAAGATGCCGGTGGAACCGGAGGGGAAGAAGGCCATGAAGGCCATGAAGGCGATGAAGGCCATGAAGGAGACGAACGCAATGAAGGCGAAGAAGACAATGAAGGCCAAGACGGCCAAGAAGTAGATACGGCCAAGAAGGTGCGAAAAAGGTGTCAGACAACCATCTGCCGAGCCAACTTGAATGAAATTGAGTATCCATCTAGACCCAATCAATGTCGAATTCAAAGCTTTCATCCGCCAAGCTTATCGTGTTTTGCAAGCATGACAGGTGCTGGTGCAGACAGAAGGCAAGGCAGACAAGTGTCAAAAATGGGTTCTTGATCCATTGGGAATCCGAGTTTGACAAATGATACACACATGTCCCACGTGGTTTGAATCTGAAACAATGCGCAAATGTCATGTGACAGTGTGTCCATTGCTTTTGGCAAGGCTTTCAACCAACAAATCGTTGACGTTGGCAGGTCAAATCGTTGTCGAGCACGCGCACTTCGAGGTTGCGCAGGTGGCTCCGGCATGCTTTGAACCAGTCGCAGTTGACAAACCAGTGCAGCGGTTGATTTGGCAAAATTTGGCAACATGTTGACTGAACATTCAGACTCAGAACGATTTCAGACCCGGCCCAAAGTCTGCACAAAGCCAGACTGCGCACAACAAGCATAAGCCAGGCCTCCGTCGAAATCGTAAGCCAAATGGCCAGCGCTGACAAGGATGGTGCTTTAACTGCGGCCGACCCTCTGGCCCGTCAGCCAGACCTGCTTGATCAAGGTGCTAGATCATGGAAGAAGCTTGAGGCCAAGGACGTGCTTGGATGTATTCAGTGGAAGCCTGGGACGTACACCGTGGTCGTTTCGGAAGATGGCACTCCTGTGACTGAGGAGGAGGTTGGGGGTGGCCTCCAATGTGGGAGTTTTCAGTAGACTTGAGAAAGGCTTAGGCTCGGACCAGGACCAGGAACCTTGTCTTCGTCCCAGCCTTTGCCTTTATCAAGTCGATTGACAGGTGCCACATGACACAGACTAAATGGTCGGCGATATTTTTGTGATTGTAAATTGTAAATTACTGGCGTCATCTTTTGATTGAGTGTCAGAAAGTTGTTGCCGGCCACCAGGCGTATCATCCGAAGGCTTGGACATACAATTTGTCCATCCAGGGTCCTGGCCGAGATGTGAAGATTAGCGGTACCTTGAAACCTTTGAAGAGGTCCGCAGATGAAGCTGGGCTTCCCCCTGCTAGGCCTTTCACAGTGGTTCGAAGCTGTGACACAATGATGGCCCAGATCCGAGAAGACGCACGACGTTTGGACGAGACGAACCAGGAGGTACAGGCCACTCAGGAGTTCGATACGGTCTTGGATGACTAAAGCCCTACTCAATGACTTGCTGCCGCTTGATGTTCCTGAGATGAAAGGATGCCGGCTTGATCAAGAATCCTAGCATGGCTAGATTTTGTGATGGTCTTGTGGGCCTGGATTTATTCATAAATTGCAGTGGATGGAAAAATGCGCATGCAGCTTGGTTGATGGCAGCGGGCATGTCAACTTCAAACTCATGTTCATGTGACAGCCAATCACATTCAAGCTCATGTGATTTATGCGACAGCGCAATTCAAATTCAAACTCAGTGGCAAACTGTTCCATTTTTAGTTGCGACGAGTTGAATTGCAAAATGAGGTTCACGTTTCCACCTTGCAGCGAATCATGCAGAAATTGGGTTCAGCATCATTTGGAATCAGGTAACGAAGTTCCTGCTGACGTTGAAGGCGAGCAAACGTTCATGTCTTGGAAGGCTTCATCCAAGAACATGCCGAATTTCATTTTCAACGTTCCAACATGCTTTACTGCAAAATCTTGTCACTTGAAAACATTGGGGAGTGAATTTCTGGCACGAAGATTCGTGGGACGGTAAAGATTGAAAGAAATCAGAATCGATGGAATTAAGGAAATCAGAATCAATGTCACATTAGCTTTGAGTTTAGTTTCAACCTTTCACAGCTGGTAGCGAATTCGCTGGGGAAGGATATTGCGTCCACAAGACTGCTGCGTGCGAGCTTTTGGCTTTCAGGCTGGCCGGCGACTGACTGGGCATTGAACAGTCCAGAAGCTTTGAACTCAACCTTGACCAACAACCTTGCCGCATTCAGAATCAGATAAAGTCAGTGTCAGGCGCTACTTCAAAAAGACTCCCCAGGAAAACGTGACCACAGACAGTAGTAGACTGTTGAAGGGCTAAGTAGACAGTTGCAGACAGAAGTAAACAGTGATCAGGAATCAGGAGGGGACCTTTTGTATTCTGCCACGCTGCCTTGGAGACCTGGTTGGAAGATGATGATGATCCTGTCCCATTTCCCATGTGTCAGAGCCAAGGCTGGGTTTTGAAC